ATTCTTTTCACACTTCATTTTTATACATTGTATTGAATGACATTTAAAAAAATTTTTTTTAGTTCTAGATGGAAACAATATCTTTATTTTATTTATTTTTATGTGGTGCTGAGGATCAAATCCAGTACCTCATGTATGCAAGGCAAGTGCTCTGCTACTGAGCTACAGCCCCAGCCCTTGAATGACATTTTTAAGTTTTACCAATCCTATGGGTGCTAAAGGATGTCTGGTTTTCATCTGAAAATTATTTCTAATGACCAGTGGGTTTGACAATCTTTTTGGATTTCTATTGGTTATTGTGTAAAACTCTTGTTCAGATCACAATTTTCTTTTTTATGGTTTGATTCTTAGGAGTTCTTTATATAATCTGGATACTAATACACTATAGGTTATGGGTAATTAATAACTTTCCCTATTGGCAACATAGCAACACTTTATAGCCTTTTGATGAAGATTTTTTTTTTTAATTTTATAGAGCTATTTCTAGTTTTTAAATTTAGGTATATTTCAAGATCATAAATTCTTTCATAAATTCTTCTGAAAGTATAAAGTCATTCTTAGTGTTTAAATAATTTCATCTATAATTGATTTTCTTTAAACTGAAATGCTATATACATCTCTCCTTTCCCTGGTCCCTGACAACCACCATTCCACTTCCTATCCCTGATTTTTACTATTTTAGGTGCCTCATACAAAAGGAATTACACATTTGTTTTGATCTTTTTTTTGACTGGCTTATTTTATCTCACATAGTGTTCTTCGTATTATAACATATATCAGAATTTCCTTCCCTTTTAAGGCTAATATCCCATCTTATGTATAAGCCATATTTTATTTATTCTTTATTGATGAAAACATGAATTCCTTCCATATTTGAACTATTTTGAGTAATGCCTCTATGAACATGTGTGTACAAATATCTCTCTGTGCCCCTGCTTTCAATTATTTTGTGTACACACCTAAATAAATACATAGATAATAAATAAATAAGCAATAGTATAAACAGAATGAAAAGGTGACTCTGGAATGGGAAAAAACATCTGCAAACCGTGTGCGGATAAGAGGTTAATGTCCAGAATATAAAGAGAACTGCTACAGCTCAACAACAACAAAACAAACATCTCAGTTGTTAAAGGACAAAGAACTTGACGTACGTTCCTCCAAAGAAGATACGTAAATGGCTAATAAACCCATGAAACTATACTGATTGTTACTAATCATTAGGAAAATGCAAATCAAAGCCACAAGATACCACCTCACATTTATGTTATCCACTTGATAACATAGCAATTCCATTTTCCATTTTTTGAGAAACCTCTATACTGGTTTGCACAGCAGCCGTATCATTTTATATTCCCACAAACAGTGCACAAGGATTCCAATTTCTCCACATTCTTGCCAACCCTTGTTTTCTGTATGTGTGGGTGTATGTGTTTATGGTAGCTGTCATAATGAATGTGAGGTGGTATCTTATGGCTTTGATTTGCATTTTCCTAATGATTAGTAACAACAACATAGCTTCATGTGTTTATTAGCCATTCATGTATCTTCTTTGGAGGAATGCACATCAAGTTCTTTGTCCATTTATGAATTGAAATGGTTTGCTTTGTTGTTGTTGAATTCTAAGAGTTGTCTTTATATTCTGGACATTAACCTCTTATCCACACACGATTTGCAGATGTTCTCCCATTCCAGAGGTCACCTTTTCATTCTGTTTATAGTATTGTTTATCTATCTATCTATCTATCTATCTATTATGTGGTCTTGGGAATTGAACCCAGCATCTTGAACATGCTAGGTAATCACTCTACAACTGAACTATATCCTCACCCTGTTTGTATTGTATTTTGATGAACAAAATTTTTTCATTTTTATTAAGTTCAGTTTTGTATATTTTTTTCTTTCATTGCCTGTGTTTTGTGCATATCCTAGAAATTGTTTTCAAATTCAAGGTCATGAATGTTTTATCATATTTCCTTCTAAGAGTTTTATAGTTTTAGCTCCTACATTTAGATTTTTTATCCCTTTTGGGCTAATTTTTGTAGAGAGTGTTAGATAAGAGTCTCACTTCCTTTTTTATATGTAAATATCCAGTTTGGGGGATAATTTATTGAAAAGAGTTCCCCATGGAATGGCCATGGCACCCTTATAGAAAATAAGTTGACAGTATATGTGGGAGTTTGTTTTGGGGCTATCTATTCTATTTCATTATTCTGAAGGTCTATCTTTATGACCGTACCACACTTTTTGATTATAGTAGCTTTGTAGTTTTTTTTTTCCTGATTATTTAGATATGAAAGGTCCATCTTATTATTAACTTTAAATCAAGCTTTTTGGAGTAAAAATTGTAGTAAGCTTTGAAATCATGAAGTGCGAATCCTCTGGCTTTCCTCTGCCTGTTCAAGACCATTTGGTTCTTTAGGATTTGGAATCACTTGAGATTCCATATGAATTTTAGGATGATTTTGTTTTTGTTTTTTTGATTTCTGAAAAAATGTCACTGGGATTTTACATTGAACCTATAGATGACTTTGGATATATTGACATCTTAACAATATTAAATTCTCCAATCTATGAACATTGAATGTCTTTCCATTTAACTCTTTAATTTCTTCTAGTACTGTTTTGTAGTTTTCATTGTGCAAGAATTCTACCCTTAGTTAATTTCTAAGTATTTTATTATTTTTATGCTATTGTAAATGTAATCCTTTCCTTGATTTTCTTTTCAAGTTGTTGTTATTGTACATAAGTGCAATTAATTTTCATATGCTAATTCTGAATCCTTCTACTTTGCCAATTTTATTGGTTCTAACAAGTTTGTGTGCATGTGTGTGTGTGTGTGCATGTGTGTAAAATCTTGAGGATTGTATACATATAAGATCATATTATCTATGAACAGTGATAATTATATTTCTTCCTTTCCAATTTGGATGTCTTTTCTTTCCTTGCTCTGGTTAGTATTTCCATTATGATGTACTATGAGTAACAGACATCCTTGTCTTGTCCTGATCTTAGAAGAAAACGCTATCAGTCTTTCACCATTAAGTGTGATGTTTACAGTGGGCTATTTATACATGTATTTTGTTATATTGGGTGGTTTCCTTCTATTAGTCTCCTTACTAATTATGCGTGTATTTAGGTTTCCATTTCTTCATGATTCAGTCTTGGTAGCTTTTGGAATTTGTCCATTTTATTTTAAGTTTGATATTACCTGTTTGCTGAATTCTTGATAAAACTTGTTAAATCTTTCAGGATTCTTACTTTTTTCTTTCAAGGAAAGATTTTTAATTACTATATTTTTCTTTAGCAAATATATTTCTTTAGCAAAAATGAGACTATTGTTCCTAATAAATTAACATAGTACTGTATATTATTGGATTTTTAGTTTGTTTACATTTTTTTCCCTTATATCACAATTACATCTTGGGATTAATAAACAAGATTTTTTTTGTCCAAGATAAAATGTATAAGAAAAAGTATAAACTTTTATAAAATTAGAATTTAGGTGCATTTTAGTCATGTTTATAAATTAAATGTTAGATTTATATTTTGTCCTACTTTTCCTTTCTTAAAGTTAGATTGTTTATTTTCTTTCATTCTGTTATTTTTTTTCCTATTGAATGACAGTATGCATTCTTTGACAGTGAAATGATAAATAGTGCTTATATGTGGTAAACCAAAAGCATGGAAAGTCTTTGAAAAATATCTTGAATACAGTTGCTTGAAATTATTATATCAGTTTATAATTATTATTTATGTCATAGTTCTTTGTTAATTAAAAGTTATTTTATCAGAATAACTCTTCACTCTACCTGATAATAGAAGTTAAGCCTAAAAATTGTAACCTAATTTTAAAGAAATGGATTTCTACTATATGTTTAATAAAAGGTTCCTTTAATACCTTATATCACATCAGTCAATGTGGAATCAGAGCTTCTAAATCTGGTGTTTAAGGACTCAAAATTTCTCCCAACTTTTTCTGCTATCCTGTAGGCCAGGATAAGTCTACAAAAGCCTACAAAGCCTGGGAATTATATGATAGGGTGGGGACCCATCCTATGCCTGTAATAAGTCCTTCTCTAGTAAACATGTTTAATATGACAAGAGATGAACATAAAATGTCCAGAAATAAAAATGAACAAACTGGGAAGTACAAAAATTTATCCTTTTCAGGAATACTTTACTTCATTTACAATATTCACAACTTCATTCTTTGCTCATACTTTTGATTATGATACAGTTTGCTTAAGTTTTGTTTGTGGAGCTGAAACAATCAGTGAATGTCCTGAGCACCATGATGAGGCTCCAGCTCTGTCATGAATATGAATTAATATTTTATGTAGGTTTCTTTAGATACATCAGCACTGCAGCATTTTATATTATTTATTTGTATTTTTTTCTGAATTTCTAAAAACTGGTAGAGGTCCATGTTCCCTAAAATATGTGAAAGAACAGCAAAAATATGCACTTAGGGTGGGGAAATGTTCATGTGGGGAAGTCTAGGTTCCTAGTTTAGAAATTGGAATACTTAAGTACCAGTCAAAATTTCACCTGTAATTACTTAATTACCTCTGAAACTGAGTTTATTTACTTCTAATCATCCCATTTACTTACTCTGTAAATGAAAAAGTTGGATTTGGACATTCCTGATCCTTTTGTAGTTAAAATAATTTTAGTAGCTCCATTAATATCAAAGGCAAATCTTCTGAAACATACAAATAACAAATGTGAACTTAAAAGTTGTGAAAATTAACAAATTTTTAAAACTAAAGTTCAAAATAGTAAGAAAAATATTCTATGAAGTTAAGATTCAGAAGTTGGCTGATGTGTTTAATTTATTCAGTTGCAAAGTCTAAACTATTTACCCAAATTTCCTCATTTATGATGGTTTTCAGGGTAATGAAGAATAAAATCTATGTGCTTCTAGTTTTATTAGAGTTGTATTTTGGATCCATACAATTAATAGTGATTTCTTTCTTTTTATTTTTTCTAAATTATAGGGTGGTTTCACCCGTAAATATTCACTTAGTTCAAAAACAGGAACACTTCTTCCAGAATTCCCCAGCGCTCAACACCTTGTGTACCAAGGATGCATTTCGAAGGACAAGGTATCAATTGAAAATACTTCTGCATTGATTTTCTGATATGTTGGTTCCACATCTCAATTTGCTAGGAATCTTATGACACTTGCAGGAAGCAGTTAGAAATCTGCATAACAAACAGAATTGATTGATTTATAGGAGAGACAAATGTTTACTAGCATTGATTAAACACTTTCCAATTAATTATTTACCATTTCTATGATAGTAGATAATCAGAAGTGGTAAAATAAACCTTAAAAGGCTGAAGATAATTTTTTATTTAAAACCCTATATTGAAGAAGAAATACTAGATCATGTCAATCACATGCAATTTTTTTCATTATTTATATTTTCAATTAACATCATTTTATTTCAATAATCATTATGCATTTCTGCAGGGCAGAATCTGCTCCTAGCACTGAGTGGGAGATAGTTAGAAAATGCAAGGACTGTACAAGATGATACCAAGACTTCTTTAAATTCTAAAATATTATGTTCCCCTACATTTGTAATTCTTTTAAAAGTTAAAGAAAACACATCTTCATTGAATTCAGTTTATAACTATTCCTCAATATGGCTTTTCAGTGCTTGTACAGTAAAGCCTAAGACAAATCCCCTTCTATTTCTGTACTTCTAGAATTAATTATTGAGGGCCTATTGGCTGTTTAAGAGCTAGAACCATTGTTAAATCAGAGTGTCATAATTTCTACATGTTTCTTTCAGCTAAAGATCATTCTTTTTTTAAAGTTTTTTTAATATTTATTTTTTTAGTTATAGTTGGACACAATATCTTTATTTTATTTATTTATTTTTATGTGGTGCTGAGGATGGAACCCAGGGTCTCACACGTGCTAGGCAAGTGCTCTACTGCTGAGCCACAACCCCAACCTTAAAGATCATTCTTTTTATTAACTTTTAAGGAAAATGTCTTTCATAGTTTATTTAGTCAATTTATATTTGGGGGGTACAAATATAGAGGGATATGAATAATGTCCAAACACATTAACAGTGGGATTTTTGTAGAAACAGTAAATAAAAACATCATGTAGATTTAAAAGAAAAAACAAAACTATCGATAAATAAGTAGATATGCAGAGTACCTGGTAGATTTAGTAGTGATGATACACATACTCTGCCAGTTGAGAGTAGGCAAAGTATTGAAGATGATTCTGAGATGCTAAATTCATGTGAATTTCCTAAAGTATGTCCACTTCCTTTTCTACTCCTGTCACATTCTCAAAGTCATCACCATTTTTAAACATACACACACAGTATGTGATATTATGACTTCATATTTCAGAAATGGACAACAAATACTAATGTGTGGCAGTTTGTGGAGAAAACCATGGAACTTGTGGAACCTCAGTTCTTTGAGGGAGTATTGTTAGTTGTTTTTTTTTTTTTTTTTTTTTGTGGAAAGTATTGCTTACATGCAAACATATCGTGAACATGTTTGCTGTGTACATGTTTGCTGTGAACATGTTTGTTTGGTGAGAGAAAGAGGAAGAGGGAGGGCAAGTAACAAAGGAAAATAGAGAAGCAAAGAACTTACTCCATGATTTTATTTTCTCTGCTACCCTCCAAAGAATTCCTTACTTCTTACTTTGAAAGACTGGTAAAACACTTGCCACTCAGGTACCAAGTGCTTTATGACTTCTGGTTTTTAAGTTCTTCCCTAGTAGACTCTGTCATGAGCACTAGGGACTGACATTCCTCTTGTCCCTTGAGGACAGCTGAGCCCTTTCACCTTCTAGCCAGAAGTCAAATTGCCCAGGTAACTTGTCAATTCTTAGAGTGTGTGGCTGAAGCTAAACACTTGAAATACCTGTTTCATTAAGGCAGATGAATGGAAACTGCTCAGTGAGAAGCTGACCCCAGGGAGATGAAGTACTAGTTGTAAGACTAAAAATTTTTGATGACTTGTGTACAAAGCTATTCATTTTGACACAAATAATTAGAAATTCTCATGAAGATAAGAGCTTATTTTTAGTTAGTAGGTTTTAGTGCTCAAAGGATAAATTTTTAATGGTGGTTATAACTTCCCTTCCATATTTCATTTTGTCTTCTTATTTAAAAAGTGTGTCTTGGTGTTACATATAAAAATAAAATAGCATTGCCTACCAAATAGCAAGTGTCATGTGCATTGATCATAAAATATCCTGCTAGTGGTTTCCTGTAGTTAACTACTCTCATCATCACCACCTACACCATTGTGAACTAGACCACACAGATGTGTGCTCTCACTTGGTAGCAGGAATAGAGACAAGAATGCAAAGTGTTGAGATGGACAGCCCCATCACACACCACTACCCAAGGTACTATTGTGATCCATTAATTTTTTGACATGTACTGCAGATCACTCTGACCACGCTATATGTGCTAATTCATTTATACCTCATAACAACTCTATTATATTTTTACCAATATGTCACATCAGCTTCACAAAAGAGGAAATGAAAGCACATAAATGTTAAGTAGCTTGTCTAATATCACATAGGAAGGAGCAGTTTAGAGCTAGGATTCAAATTCAGGTAATGGAGAAATAAAGCTCTCATTTTTAACATTTTTGAATTTATCTTGTTCTAATCCACTATAAGTTTTATAATATGTTTAAAGATTTTTATATTTATTACTAGTTTTTTATTTTTGGCCATGCTGGGGGTGAACCTAGGGCCTCACATTTGCCTGGCAAATGCTGCTGTGACACTGTGCTACATCCCCAGCCAAACTGTTCAGAATTGTTTAAACTATGCAGTCCAAATATCCATGGTAATTTGGAAATAGAGACTGTTCATAATAGACACTCAATATGTGAAGCATCTTTTTTTTTCTGGTAAATGCATCATTTAATGTTATTGCTAATTCTAGATAATATTTAGTAAGCTCTCATTATTTGCCAGGCACAGTTCTCTGTATTGCTCCTCATACTTTATTTGGCTTTCTTAACACCATATGAGTAATATAGTGTTAATACTTAAAGATAAAAAGCTTGGGGCTCATAAATAGAGCAAATTGGGGCTGGGGCTGGGATTCAGCAGTAGCACACTTGCCTAGCATGTGTGAGGCACTGGGTTAGAATTCTCAGCACCACATATAAATACATAAATAAAATAAAGGTCTATCAACAACTTAAAAAAAAAAAGAAATAGAGAAAATTGTGTAATCACATCAGGTCAGTCATATAGGGGAGCTTGGCACTCAAGTTGAGCTGTCTCCAGAATCAAAACTTGAAACCACTGTGCCACACTGTTTCAAGCATCCATTCAATAAAACTGTGTGAAGAGTTCATGTATTTTACTTTTTGGGGGTGTTACCAGGGATTAAATTCAGGGGCACTTGACCACTGAGTCACATCCCAGCCCTATTTTTTAATTTTATTTAGAAACAGGGTCTCACTGGTTGCATAGCACTTTGCTGTTGCTGAGGCTGGCTTTGAACACGAGATCCTCCTGCCTCAGCCTCCCAAGCCACTGGGATTACAAGCATGTACCACAGCACCCAGCTCATGTATTTTACTATTTAATGTTTATTTTCCTAATAAAAAGTCATTTTCTTATTAGGCAGAATATTAGGATGTTGATTTAGACCACAGTTTCCTGGATAACTACTTTTTTCCCCATTGTTCTTATCTGTTACTATAGTCACTAATTTTCTTGCCTTTCTCCCCTCACAAGGCAGAGAGTCCCTTGAAATAAAGATTTTTGCCTTCATTTTTGATCCTCAGCATTGAACATAAAGCCAAGTGCACAACATAAAGCCAAGCTTATAAAATGTGTCTAGAATAAATGAACAAATAAAGGCACTATTTATTACAGAAGCTTTTGTTAAGTTTTTTTCTTTCTTGAAATAGGTTGATACTCTCATAATGATGTACAAAACTCACTGCCAGTGTATCCTGGACAATGCAATTAATGGAAACTTTGAGGAGGTAAGGATGACAAACGAATGCTTTCTTGACTATATTAAACATGTTTTCAGGCCCTGTTCTTAATGAGGTCATACTAAAGGAAAATTTTAACATATGCATTTTGCTCTACAACTAGATCCAGCACTTCTTATTACACTTTTGGCAAGGAATGCCTGATCACCTTCTTCCCCTGCTTGAAAATCCTGTTATCATTGACATATTCTGTGTTTGTGACTCAATTCTTTATAAGGTAAACTCTTTAGAGTGTTTTTAATGTGAACCATTTATTTCTTTAAAATAACATTTTAATATAAATTCTTGTAATGCATACAATATCTATAAGCAATTTAATCATGCATGTTTAATGGTTTATGTATTTTAATAGAAATTTATATCAAGCAAAACAAATTTAATTTCTGTTTATAACCAAGAATGATTCTAAATGTGACATATTTGCCAAAATATGAAAACTTAGTTAATTTTTATTAACTCTCTAATGTATTTTCAGATTAAAATAATATAGTGACTATTTCACAATAGTGTTTTCAGGAAAAGCAGAATTTTAGGACTAATAACTAATAACTATTCTGAAAAATTCTAACTTTAATGCATTTATGTCCTATTCTGTTCTTAACCCAAATAAGAGTCCCCAGATCTGAGTTAGCATGAAAAAGCAAGTTTATTAGCAAGCTAGTTGCCATTTCCAGGTTCTCAGCTTTACAGAAATTAAAGCAGAAGCTAGGCAGACTCTGTCCAGGTACACATTTGCAGATCCAATAAAGGTGGATTGGCCTAAGCCAGAATGTGGGAGCTCATATTTTCATTTTCATTTTAGTTATCACTCATCACAGGAGAAGACAATGGAGAAATAAGTGCAGGATTTTCTTTGCCGTTAGTTGAAGATGGGAAAAAGTGAGCAAGGAGTGTCTGCTTTTCTGGATTGAATAAGAATACCATTATTCAGAGAGAGAGAAGATTCAATTTGCACCAACTTATCATCTTTAATGCTTAACACTCAAAGCAGGCAACCAGAGGTGAAACAGAGGCAGTAGCTCTGAAAGAGTATCAAAAAAGTCCTGGGCTCATGCACATGCACACACATTTGCCACCATCAAAGCAAAACTGTTTGGACTGTAGTTCAGCTTTTAACTAAGACATACTTTTAAAACATACCATGTTCATTTGTGTTTTTTTTTATTCCTACACAAAAATCCTGAGTTTAATATCATTAAATAAACTTAGTTTCTCCTCCGCATGTTGGACCCATGGATGCACAGTGAGCACAGTAAATAGAACAGTGCAAAGTGGGCTTCTGCCAGATCTTCATCCCACTTCTAGAGTGGTCAGCTTCTATTCCATAAACAGTATGTGCTTACCAAGGCCAATCTATTGGTAATTAACATATGCATCCACATATAACTCACACATTCATTTTAGAGATAAATTAATTTCTGTTTATAACCAAAATAAAATTGGTTATAAAATTTCTGTTTATAACCAAAATAAAATTGGATTGAAAGGAGTAACCATGTTACTATGTAGGAAGCTAATAAAAAAAGCAATTAACGAGTAATGTATCTTTAGCCATAGAAATACTAAGGAAAGATTTATGTTAATTCATTTCTGCTTGTTATTAAGGTTCTTACAGATGTTCTCATTCCTGCAACAATGCAAGAAATGCCTGAAAGGTACGTTCAGTAAATAAAAAATAATAATTTCACTTTATACCTTTATACATTAAAGGAAAACATTAAGCAGTAATTAATTTATTTATCAAGGAGAATCTGTTTTTCTACTTCTGTTTTTTTTAATTGGCTGGAGGAGATGTACCTCAATCCTTATGTTTGAACCCCATTGAACAAAATGAGTGGAATCCCTGAAATTTCTTTAAGAGTCACCAAAATGTGGTACTTAAATGGGACTGACCTTCAAGGTACAGAGAAAGTCCTTCAATGGAAATTAACTGGAGGAAGATAATTGCAGATAATTGATGGAAAATAACCACAATAATAAAAACTATAAGGAAAGTTATTCTGTTTTCATTATGAACTTTGATCTTAATTGTAAAAATCAGGAGGCCGACATAATAAAATCATTACCTTCTTTTAACAAAGAAATAAGATCTCAAATAGTTTATTGAAATGATACCTGAAGATTTTTCACAAAGCTTTTCCAATGTGTGAACAAGAGGAACTAGAAAAAAAAACAGCCTTTTTTTCCCTTGAAAACAAATCTAATGAAATAAGGAAAATTATTTTAATATTGGGAGAAGACAAATTTATTTAGGGATGGACATATCTGGCCCTCAAATTTTGATTTATCTTTTTCTCTGGATTGTTTGATTTGTTTATGTAATAAATTATATTGATCTGGTTCCTAGTCATTTAATTATCTATTATAGTCTTTAAACATCTAAACTGTACTCTGCTTTATGTATGTATTTATTTATTTGTTGGTATTGTGGATTGAACTCTAATCTGTGCTCTCTGTCAGATATATCTAGCATTTCTGGGTCATAGCAGGATATCTGTGCTAACTTAGTGGCAGGCATCTGATCACAAGACTGTTTCAAATAGTAATAATAGCTGACTGGTAGTAAATACAACATAGGCTTTGAGACTACATAAATCATTTAATTCTTATAACAAATCTGAGCTGTTCATTGTTGAGAAGAAAAACATACATAAATGCATATTAAAGCTTCAAACTTACCATATTCTTAATATCTGAGATTATTGTCTCACAGACATTCTTCAAGGTATATCTAGAAATATACACCTTTTTACAAATAGAACCATAGTACTCATACTACAGTGGTACAACTTAAGAACATTTCCATTTCAATAGATGGAGATCAACATTATCTTTTCGAGTGGTATCATAAATTTCCAGCATCAGAGAACACTGTACTTTAACCAATTTATTATCTTTGAATAATTGGATTTTTTTCTTTACACACAATGTGTCATCTGACTCTGAAGTACTGTATGTTCCCAAAATTCTCAAATGAGGAACCTGGGAGCAGAAAGAAGTTAATTTATCTTCCCAGAGTAAAAAGCAAAACCTCGATTTTGACTCCAAACCCTACCTACTCTTTTTCTGTATCATGTAACTGATCCTCAAAACATGTACCATCCCAAATATATTTATATTTGTTGAGATAAGATATGAAGTTTTTAGACTGATTTTTAATATCTTATAATATCTCTATAGTCAATATTAATAGTTTTCTAGATTGGGCCTAAAATTAGTATGCTTTTGGTAATTCATTATCAAAATTATATTTGGATTATAGAAGTATGTTACTAATATTAGTAATAACAGATATTTAGTAATAACAGATATCCTGCTATTACTAAAATTATTAATTTTAGTAATGTGTATTAAATATTAAAATCAATATTAAATGCACAAAATGTTGTTATGATCCTAATGTGATGTCTCTCAATAAGCTAAGATATATAAAACATCAAGCTTATACTTACATTTTCCCAGGAATATATTTTATAGAAAATGATTAAACTGTGAGCTAATGTTAATAGTAAAGCATTAGCCGAGTGTGGTGGCGCACGCCTGTAATCCCAGCAGCTGAGGAGGCTGAGGCAGGAGGATGGAGAGTTCAAAGCCAGTCTCAGCAATCATGAGATGCTAAGCAACTCAGTGAGACCCTGACTCTAAATAAAATGCAAAATAGAGCTGGGGGTGTGGCTCAGTGGTCAAGTGCCCCAAGTTCAATCCCTGGTATCCCCCTTTATCCCCCCCCCCCAAAAGCATTAATTATTAGGTATTCCCTGAATTCCAGAGTTTAACCTGGGCATTTTCCATGAATTATTTCATATAATCCTCACAATAATCCTGTGACCAGATGCTGTTCTTATTCCTATTTAACAAACGAGGAACTTGAGAAAATTGAATATTTTGATCAAGATGATAAATGGCAAACCCAGGCTGAGGCTGTCTCACTTCAAATTCATGCTTTTATATAAAACTAATATAAAACACCCTTAATGCTTTTTTCTTTTTTTAAAACAATGTAGCTTTAACACATAGTTTTCTTTTTAGCTTACTAGCAGATATAAGAAATTTTGCTAAAAATTGGGAACAGTGGGTTGTTTCATCCTTGGAAAACTTGCCAGAAGCCCTAACTGACAAGAAAATACCCATTGTGCGAAGATTTGTATCTTCTCTGAAGCGACAAACATCTTTTTTACATCTTGCTCAGGTAGGTGGGTAAGTTTAGTGTTGAGTAACCAAATAAAAAATGAATCTTTTGATCAGAGAAGATAGAGGAACTTTCATAGACTAAAGGAAACTAAACAGATAGCATGCAAAATGCAGTATGTAATTCTAGAGTCAATATCAGAGCTAAAAAGGATGTTAATGGGAAAATGTTGAAATTTGAATTCCTGCCATAGTTGAGTTAACACTATTGTGCCAATGAAATATTGATATTGGTAATGTACCATGCTTATGCCACAGAAAAAAGCTGAATGGAGGGTATGTGAAAAGTCGGCACTATCTTTGCAACTTTTCTGTGACTTAAAATTATTTTAAAATCAAAAGTTAAAAAAAAACACATGCAAACAAAACATGAAATACTTATCGTGTGAATCCAATGGATACAAGTTAAGGTTGTAAGGAATGAGAAATCTGATATTGTGAAACTCACACACGCAACACACTTTAAACTGCTACTAATTATGGTTCTTTTAGATAAGAGAAGAACAGACATAATTCTTAAATTAGGAATACCATGTATTATTAAATAAGTTTTACTGCCCCAAATGATTACTTACTTTCTAAAGGTTTTTAGTCTCCTAAATTTTAAAAGACTAGCTGGAGATAGTTTCAGAAAAGAAATGCAACATTTTAATATCCTTAGTGTGTGACAAATGGGCAAATTAAATAAATAAATAAATAAATTTTAAATTTAAAAATAAATTTTCAAATCTTTAACAGAGATGATCATAAGTCACAGCTATTGCTTTGAATTTTAAGACGAAAAAATAATTTATGCATGATTCTTTTCCCTCAAGGAATTATTTTTGTTGAAGATAAAACTTTAGATAGATGATAAATGATATAGTGTAGTATCTTTTTACTTTTTCTGTGCAGATTGCAAGACCAGCTCTCTTTGACCAGCATGTTGTGAATTCTATGATATCTGATATTGAAAAGGTTGACTTGAATAGTATTGGATCTCAGGCCCTTCTTACCATTTCTGGTAGCGCAGACACTGAATCTGATATCTATAGTGAACGTAAGTCCATTTTCTTTATAAAGAACAAGGTTTCTGAACTTTGGCCCTATTGGCATTGTTGAGAAATGTGTTGTACATTGTAGGATGTTTTAGGAGCATTCCTGGCCTCTCTCCACTAGACACCAGTGGCAGCATCCCCTAGTTATGACAACCAAAAACATCATATTTGCCAAATGGCTCTTGGCTCCAAAGTGAAATCTGAGAAGCTCTCTTTATAGACAAGTTTTTAACTTCTAAAGAATCAAGGATCTTCAGAAAGAAGGAAATTAATTATCTTGACTTGGTTATTTCACTAGCTTTCAACTAATCTGTTCCATATAATAAAAACACCAAGTTAAAAATGAATATTTAACGATATTAATTTTCTTATTCTCCAGTATCTGAATATATCTATACATATATACATATATAACACATAAACCTATATTTGAATGATATTAAGGTAGACATACTTATTAAAATTAAAGTGTAGGCATTTTTTGTTACTGTTCTTAGGCTATTGAATAAGTTCTCTTCATGCATTTCACTTAATCTGTCTTTCCTTTTTGTGACATAAAATTATTAATGATTTGTAAATTCTAGGTTTTCTCTTGGGTTCAAAGTAGATGCAATGTTCTTCTTTCTTCTCTTTTCTTTTTTGACATGGCAGAAGACTCTGTCATTGTGTTCCAAGAACTGAAGGATCTCCTTAAGAAGAATGCCACTGTGGAGGCTTTTATTGAATGGTTGGATACAGTAGTAGAACAGAGAGTTATTAAGGTACTTTATTTTTTTAAAAAAATTTTTTTAGTTGTCTCTGTCCCTTTATTTTATTTATTTTACACATGCTAGGCAAGTGTTCTACCACTGAGCTACAGCTTCAGCACTGTTAAGATACCTTTTAATAACAGATTTGAGAAAATAATTTTTTTTTGTTAAGAATAAATGCTAAATTGGATATAATCTCTTGACTTTTTTTTAAAGGTGGAAGACTGTATAAAAAATGTTTTGAGGGAAATTCTGAAGCTCTACAAATAAGGCCGCCCAAATATCTAAATTAGGAAGATGCCAGATTTGAAAGCCCTGGGCCTGGGTTTAATACTGTTTCTCCTTTCCCAACCAAGAGCAATATTCCTTCCCTGTCAGTCAAGAAAGTTACACCTGAGTAACTTCATTAGTGAAAGATAAACTCAGAAACTGGAAAGATATAGTCCTTTTTTTTTTAAAAGCAAGTTTTCATAAATGCTGAAAGAAAATATTCTTTTCAATATTACCTTTTTGTAATACTAAATTTTAAAAGCTCAGTATTTTTTGTTTTCTATTTGTCTTCTTCATTTTTTTTTTCTGTTAACCTTCAAGCCATCCATCATGAAGCAAGGCAATAAGAACAAATATATCCTTCACTAGTTGGGGTGAGCTATTCATATCAAGAAAACCAGTTATAGTCTGGGGACGTTTTTTCATTCTGGAAGGAAAACAGATTTTCATTCAAGACCTGAGAAGTCTGTTAATCATTCACGGAAATATATAACCCCCTTTCACACTTTATATTATGTTCTTTTAAACCCTCTATCAGAAAATTAAAAGATAAAAACATTTTGTAAAGTATCTCATTTTGTTGTCTAATTCTATTGAGAAACAATGTTATTTAGAGTATACTTTTTAACCCTTAAAATGGAAGCAAAGACAGGCCAAAATTAAAATCCCTGGACAGGTCATGTTATTTGATGAAACAAAGAACATGTCGTGCCATCTGTCCATTTAGACAGTGTATCTACCTTGATCTAACATAGGATACATGGAATGATGAAATGACAGATTTTGTAGTTCCATTTTGTTTCTTTTCTTTTAGACCAGCAAACAAAATGGAAGATCATTAAAGAAGAGGGCCCAGGACTTTTTGCTGAAGTGGAGCTTTCTTGGTGCTCGAGTCATGCATAACCTCACCTTGAACAATGCATCCAGTTTTGGTATCCTATGTGCCTTATAAAAGCCTTACATGAGTTATACCATTCATTCCCAGTCACATCTTGTGTCTATTTTTAAGTCTATTACCATATCACTTCTCAAAGAGTGTCTGAATATCAGCTAGTGAAAAATAGTATTTATAACAATATATCTCTTTTGAACTTAAAATGATATAAAGCTAATAAAATCTATTGTTTGAAAAATTTAAATGTCACTAAAATAAAACTGTAAATGGAAAACTAGTAATGCAAATGCATTAATATTAATAACACTTGGAAATTTTATTCAATAAAAGAAAGTTTATTAACTATTATAAAAAAAATAAAATGGTAGTTATGAGCTTGGCTGTAGAGTCAGATTTCATGTTGGGTTAAATCCTACACTTTCTCTCCAGCTGTGGCTTTACCTAAGCCAGGCTGCTCACTGAAGAAGGTGCAGAATACTCGTTTCCTAAGAACTATGTAGATGCTTTAGTAAAATGATGTATACAAAAACAAGTTGCTAAACTCAGTAGATACTTAATGAACAGCAGCCATTATCATTAAATCACACTGGTACTTGGATAAATTGTCTTTGTTAAACCAACAAACAATAACTAACATTATTTTCAAGATAGTGCTTATTTTAATACGGCCATTTTTTTTTTTTTACATCTGTTTTCCTGGTATCTGTGTAGTTGTATTCCAGGAGTGGAAGAGCAACACTCTATTAAATTTATGAACTCCCTTTCCTGATCTCTATGACTTATAAATCAGATCAAATTAGCTTTTTCAAAAATTGGCTACTCTCTTTTTTCTAAAACTTCTGAGATTCCCATTGTATAGTTACAATGCTAAAGTTATGGACAGTAACTCTGTGTTTAGTAGTTGCTGATTTCAAGAAATCTTCACATTATCAAATAGATTGCAATTAACTAAGTTTTAAAATTTAACGTCCAATGAAGTTAAATAAAACCAGCAAACTTGTGCTGAAGGATGAACAAAATACACTGTGTCTATTATTTAAAATAAACTTGCTTATATTTTAGATTTCTTAAAATATATAAGATTGAAACCTGATCTTATTATGATAAAAAGACTTGTTGGGAAATCCGTCGAATAGCTAAAAAGACATTTAAAATTTTCCAGTATATCTTTCATGTGAAAATTACTTTTTTTTTTCAAACCAAATAATATTTGTTTCAAGCTAGAAAGACATCTTTTCTTGATACTTTTCTCAGACTATTCTGGCCATTGTCTGATTATTCAGTACAAAGTAAACAGAAATAGAGCAGAGTAGAGCTCATTCTCCTCAGGTTAAACCTTATCACACTCTAGTGTGTGCCCTCTTAAAGCATAAAGCATGTCTCACTTTCATCCGTATTTTCCTTTGATGTAATTAGTGGCCAAAGAGCTGGCAGGACAGTATACACAGTGAGCTAGGCAGGCGGTACACAGAAAGATTAGAGACCCAAGTTAAGCATGTTGGTCTTTGCAGGTCATTTAAAGTCCAACAAGTATTTGTTTATTTCAGTTGCTCCTTGTAAAGTGTGGTGAGATGGTCACAAAGATAACTTCACTTTTCTTTCTCTTTCCCTCTCTCTCCTCGGTCCCTCTTTCTTCTTTCCACCTCACCATGTGCTCTCCCCTCTTCCCATTCATAAACAAGGTTCATTCCATTTGATCCGAATGCTTCTCGATGAATACATTCTCCTGGCCATGGAGACCCAGTTTAATAATGACAAAGAGCAGGAGTTACAGAATTTATTGGACAAGTATATGAAGAATTCAGGTACTATAAATAAGTAGTACGATTTTTATGTTTCTCTGTTTAAACTTAAGTTGAAAAATTCGCATGTGTACAAGTTAAGTGGGTTCATAATAGTCTCAGAGTTTTTTTCCAAACATGCCACTACTAACATCAGATACTAACATGAACAGAATGCTGTTTCTCTTCCATTTATACATAGATTAGTCAAAGTTTTTTCATTGGAAACTTTGAAGTTAACAAAATTGACATTCTTAACTTCTGAAAAATTAAATGAAGCTGGAGAAGTGACTGTAGTTCAAAAAAACTATTATATTTCAGAATAACCCATGTGGTATATTTCACATATAAGTAAGCTTTTCAGGAATTTAGAGAAAGAAGGAAACACATCTATTTGAGATGTGAAAACTTTCATTTTGAAGACTTCGGAGTGGACTATTTGGTGTCTCTCAGAACACATGTACACCCACAAATAACCAGCTAATAAAACCCAGCACCACACTGCCAAGAACAAAGGTCTACCCCACTTATTTCCCACAGAAAACTTGGCTTATGAATTTCCAGATTAATTACTTTACCTATGAAACATTCTCAGTGTCTTTTATTTGCTGGCTTATCAACTAGGAATATGGGAATGAATGAAGCTTCCTCACTTTAAAAAACTCTTTCCAGATGCAAGTAAAGCTGCCTTCACTGCCTCGCCAAGCTCATGCTTTCTGGCCAATCGGAATAAAGGAAGCTCTGTTTCCAGTGACACTGTGAAGAATGAAAGCCATGTGGACACAGCCTGCCTTCCTCTGCCATCCAGTCACCCTGGAGCCCTACCCCCTGCTCTTCACCCCTTCCCTGCTGGAAACACAGATAATATGCCACTCACAGGTACCTGTGGAACAACAACGAGAATCACCTAGACTTCCACACGTCTCAGAGGAGCTTATTCCTTTACTTTCCTTAAAACGCCTAACCTCTAGGGATTCCAAGAATAAAAAGGGTTTCCTTAATTGGTTTGCAATATTTTATAGGATTTAAAATATTTTAGTTAAAATTTTGTGTAATTTTTTAGTGTTTTTGTATTTAAAGCAATTACCATTCACATTTTAACTAATGCTATTATTAACATGAGTATCATATTTGGGTGCTTGGTAAGTTATATTAGAAATATGAATAGTCCTCTTCATTTAGTGGGAGGAAAAACTAGATTAGGTAACCATAAAATCCTTAAGATGCTTTAAAGATCAAAAAGGGAACACTTATTTGTTTGGGGGTTTTGATGAGATTTCTCTTTCATTAAGAAGTAGATTTGGTCATTCTAGGATAATTACTACAATAATTTTGTCCTTTGGTCTAGGGTCCACTTTGTGTCAAAGAATGTTCAATGGCTTGAACTAACTACTTGGAATATTTTAAATTTGCTTATTGCCTTGTGTCTTTTTTGAAACCCTTTTATATACATTAATTCATTAGATATACAGAATTTTGAACCTGGAAGGGCCTTATCCTTCAGTGGTCTAATTCCTGCCCATGGAAAATCAAAGACACAGGGAGTTGTTGCCATTCATAAACCACATTGCTCATCAGTTGTATTCACAAGATGTTTTGAATTGATGGCTTTGAAGCCATGCCATTTTGACATTAGTGCATTTTTCTTTCACCCGAAAGATCAAACCATTTCACATTCAGCTTGCTTTTAATTATGGAGAGATTTGAGCATCTGACTCCCTTGCCCTTTGCAAGTGTGAGTACTAAATATCTTCATATCTATAGGAGTACAAAGCTATCCCAGACTCTCTCTGGGAGACTCACTCTGGCTGTAACGTATATCTGCATTGTGAAGATGTGCGTATATTTTTAATTTGCATTTTCATGCTCTCCATTCTAGTTAATTTTGGGGAGTAGGAATAAACCAAGTTGGGGGAAAAAGGCATACTAGTACATTTACAAATATTTCTTAGAGATCCAAGCCCATATACTTTAATATGCCACTAAATGAATGCTCTGCTAATTCCTTTCCAGGTCAAATGGAGCTTTCACAGGGTACTGGACATTTGATGACACCACCTATTTCTCCAGCCATGGCCAGTCGAGGAAGTGTCATTAACCAAGGGCCAATGGCAGGGAGACCCCCAAGTGTGGGCCCGGTACTCTCAGTTGCATCACATTGCTCAACATACCCAGAGACCATTTATCCTACTCTCTCTCAAAACAACCATGACTTTTATGGGGCCAACTCTAACTATCAGACTGTGTTTAGGGCACAGCCCCACCCCACACCAGGACTCTATCCTCATCGTGCTGAGCATGGTCGATGCATGGCCTGGACTGAACAGCAGCTTTCTAGAGACTTTTTCAGTGGCAGCTGTGCTGGGTCTCCATATAATTCTCGGCCACCTTCCAGCTATGGACCATCCTCACATGCCCAAGATTCACATAGTATGCAGTTTTTTAATACAGGAAGCTTCAATTTCCTGAACAACACAGGGGCTGCCAGCTGCCAAGGAGCAACATTGCCTTCTAATTCACCTAATGGTATGAATTTTTTAAAGAATTTTCCTGGCTTTTGAGTAGACAGTAAGTCAACATCAGCCATTGGGTTTCTGCCAAGTAGTATGTCATCTCATGTAAGACTTCTAAAGACCATGGAGTCTTAGACATCTAGGGCTGATATGTTCACAAAGAAGATTATTCCCTATTTTTTGTGGCTTTATTGAAGTTGTACACATTATTTAAAAATGCCACACATTATGAAAAAAGACCTTATGTCAAACTACATACATGAAACCAGCCTTAACAGGCAGGGAAAAGAATGTTCTTTCCTTTGATTGTTTTTTTAATGGAGAATGTTCTTCAAAAGAACTAAAAGCAGATTTAAGACTGAGACCAAAACTGTGTCCATTGTTAGGCCGATAAAATCTTGAAGGGCGCTATAAAGACCTGTGGATGCCTTCAGTCACCAAAATTGGCTTTGTGTAGTCAGACCTTATTAATTTGGATAAGTAAATTATAACAAAGGTACAGTCTATGTCTCAAAGTTATAATGTGACAATTCCTCTTTGAAAAAAAGCACAAACCTAGCATAGTAAACCATATCCATATAAGCACAAATCCAAGTTTATAATAAACAGATGTAATATTTATAGTTTGATATCTTTAAGGTTCTGCCCAATTGCCTTGTGGCTTTTTCCTTCCTGGACTGTTCTTTGTAATAAGCTAATGGCACATTCTCAACACTTTCTCTTCTAGGCTACTACGGAAGCAATATAAACTACCCAGAGTCTCATAGGCTCGGGTCAATGGTGAATCAACACGTTTCTGTCATCAGCAGCATCCGCTCACTCCCTCCATACAGTGACATCCATGACCCACTTAACATTTTAGATGACAGCAGTAGAAAGCAGACCAGTTCGTTCTATGCAGATGCATCATCTCCAGCTGCCTGTCGGACTCCAGTAGTAGGTAAGTTACTTTAGTAGTTCTTGAAAATGTTTTTTAAAAAGTGGCTTTTAAGTGGGGCTTACCTCAAATATGCAGCATCACTTAGTAGAAACTGTTGAGGTGAACTGGGCATGTACCTTTCTGCTGCCAGTTTGTTATTTTGGATCTGAAGTTGCATCTTTATATCTGAATATACTGTTAGTAACAATTTTCTAGGTCTCTTTCCACATATCACTGCTGTGAGATCTACTGCCGGGTCTATTTTTCTTTCCAAAAAGAATAGTTGGCATCTTTTATGAATAGTTGGCATCTTTTATGAATATAACCTGTCAAGTGCAGTTTAAAAGACAGTAAAATTTAGGAGGACTGTGATGATGTCTTTTTTTCTAATTGTCTCTTGATTACTGTTGGACTCTTTTCTCTTTTAGGTCCCATAATAGCCATCACTACCTGAAACCACTCTGAAACCTTTTTTTTTTTAAAGTTGTAGAGGGTCATAATATCTTTATTTAATTTATTTATTATGTGTTGCTGAGGATCAAACCCAGTGCCTCACACATTCTAGGCAAGTGCTCTACCACTGAGTTACAACCCCAGCCCCACCCCCAAATTTTAAAAATGGTGTCCTATTAAGGAATTACTAGAATTTTCTCAATTTTGTATCAAATGAAATTAAACATCTCTATAAAAATGTTTCTATTTAATTTAATTTACTATTTAAATAAAAATGTGGAAATTAATGGACTTGCCTTGTAGAACCCTAGCTGCTTCTTCCAACCAGTTTGCTATTCCTGAGCCCCACTTATGAAGAAATTCATCAGCTTGTACTAGATGTATCACCAGCACTTCTTAAACTCTCTGCCACATAGTAGGAATTCAATAAATCAGTGAATGAAAAAGGAGGAAAAACTAAATCTAGGGACTAGAGGTGTAGCTCAATAGCACATGTTTGCATGTGCAAGGCCCTGGGTTCAATCCTTAACCCCAAAAGCAAACATAAAATAAAAATTGAAATTTATACATATATTTTGTCTAATTAATTAGCATGTTATCACTGAAAACATAGATTTTGAAACTAAATATATAAATTAGTTTCTGAAATTACTAATGAGGTATCACAGGGTAAGTATATATTCAGCAAGTATCAATCAGAGTGTTAATATTTATATCAGATGTTTGAAATCATCCAGTGGAATTGATTTTAGACTAGCATAAGTAAAGGGCATTGGCACCCAAGCAGAGCAAAAGGGAAAATGAGATAAATTCCATCTCTCCTCACTCAGTGTACTTTTCTAATAATTCAGTAGGAAGCACTTCTTCCCTTCCTGTGACTGTCACAAATGCTCCCTGAGCAGAGTCTGAGAACTCATCTCCTGCTATCTGTAAATAGTCATTGCTTCTAGGTTACTCTAATGAAGCAGAAAATTCCACTTCAGGAAGTTTCCTCACCGTGAGACTGAAACGTGCCACGTTGCCATTGCTACTATTAGTTGTGTTTACCTGTAGAGATAATGGGCACTTTGATGGAACACAGGTTGGGAGCAGGGTAGATTCCAAGCTGAAGTTGTCAGAGCCGGCTTTCGAGTACATTGCAAAGTGGGTTTGAAAAGAGGGAGCAGTGTAAGTAAGTAAATGCTACAGGGGTAATCCGGACCCACAATAGGCTTCCTTAATTGTATAGCTTGGTTCTTAGTTGTCATGAATGTGTCATCTCACAGTGAGAAGGCAGCGGCCACACCTGAGGGAAATGCCGAGCTGGAGAGGAAGTTAGTGAGCTGTTTTTAGAATGGTCCATTTGTCAGAGTCCATTCTAGGCTTGAGGATATGGGGGTGATTAGGCTATAGTTCCTGTCTCGAGGAAGTTTAAAACATTCTAGGAAGGGGAAAGTAAGGCAATGGATATGTGGACACAGGCCTTAAAATGATAATTTCAGGTTCTCTGAGTTCCATTAAATAGGGCAACATGGCAGGTGGTAACAGAGGAGCTGCTCTGGTAGGATGGTTGGGATAGGAATCCTGAGGCAGAAACATTTAAGTTGAAAGAAGAGTGATAAGGAAGCAAGACATGAAGATCTGATGGTTGAGTTTGAGGAAGGAGGAACAGCAATTGCAGGGCCTCTGAAATTGGAGCACAACTGACAATTTCAATGGGCAGAGAGAAAGCCTGTGTGGCTTGAGCGTAGTAAAGAAGGGAAAAAGGAACAAAACAAATCAAAAAGCAAGGATTTGCCTATGAAGAGTTTTATGAACCAGGGACAACAGCTGGGATTTTCTTCCAAGAGTATGAGCAACCATTATACCATTTGAAAAGAAAGAGTATGGTTTTGCTTTACATTTTGGCAAGATCGTTGCAGTTGTTCTCTGGAGAATGAGCGAATGAGGCAAAGGCAAAAGTCATGAGAACAGTTAGGAGGCAAACTGTATCAGTCCAGGGAAGAGAAGGTAGTGGTTTGAACTACAACTGAGGAACTAGAGTAGGGGATAAGGGAAAATGAGATAAATTCCATCTCTCCTCACTCAGTGTACTTTTCTAATAATCCAGGAACTAGAGTAGGGGATATATTTTGTGGTAGGACTTAAGATGATATTGAGTTTCCTTTGTGAAATATTTACAAAAAAACAACAATTTCTGGGAAAGTAGCCAATTGAAAAAAAGGTAGAATAAAAGATGATTGCCCTGGCAAATTATATACATTCAAATTTTGAACAGGTAGGTGTACACTAAATGCAAAAATAAATACAGAGGCTCAGCTTAAAGAGAGTGTCACTGGCAGAGAAAAGAAAATGTCAATTGGTTTTCAATTGGTGATTATATTTTCCTCCTTTACAGCTTCCAACTTGCAAACCCCAATTCCTTCTTCTTCATCCCAGTGTATGTATGGAACTTCCAATCAGTATCCAGCGCAAGAAACCTTGGACTCCCATGGAGCAAGCAGTAGAGAAATGGTGTCATCTTTGCCACCCATCAACACTGTGTTTATGGGAACAGCAGCTGGAGGCACTTAAATTGATAATGTTGGGTGGGATTGAAACTAAAAATCTCTACTGTGCAGATATCATTATTCACTCAGTCTACAATAAGAATAAACAAAATGGAGCAGGCAGTGACTGGACACTGTTTTTCAAGTCACTGGTATTTGGATAACTCCAAAGTGATTGGACATTCTTGCATAGTTTGCCTTGCACACAAATAGTTTTAAATGTGATCTCATTATTAATCATAGTTTACAACATTATTAAATGAAACCAGTGGAGAATTGAACATGCAAACATTTCAACTATGAAGATTTAATATTTCACTTTCTAATTTATTGAGAATCTTTATGCTCCTACATTTTTGGTTTCTAAAAAAGAGAAAAGTATATTTAATGCCTTTACAATACCTTTAATTTATTAGGATCTCAGAATCATTGTTTACTATTCCCTTATTTGACAAACAGTCAAATATATATGTTCTACCTCCTATGGAAATGTTTACGACATCAAGACTTAATTCAATTCAGCCTAGACCAAAGTCGCTTGACCTTTAATTCCTCTGCATTAGTGATGATTTCTGTTACATAGCAGTATTCCAATTATATGTAACTGAATAGAGATGATAAATGCTTACTCTTCTTTTCAAAAAGACAAGAAATAAAAGAAATAATGGATGGAAACATTTTTAAAGGCTTGATTGCTGTCAGGCCTGGTGCCATTTTTGAAGGATGCTGGAGATTTGCAGGAAGAGCTGCTTTGGATATCAAATGAAAGAGTGAAGTTGGTTGATTGAGACGCTATAATTCAAGAATATTTGCATATCAAATTAAAGTGCATAACAGTAAAGAAATTGTGACCTGTAGACTAAAATTCCTCAGATGTGGAAGTAGTCTTTTATCAAGTACTTTAATTACTTGATTACAAATTAAGAGTGAATGAGTATTCAGGGATCATCTGGATGCAAAGGCTAATTCACAAGTGAAGGATTCATTATATATAAATTAATACAATTTGATATGACCCTCTGCCTTTTTTTTCTTTTCCATATGCCTTGGCTGAAAGATCTGTTGTAAGATTTATAGCCTATAATAGGATACTTCTATGAACTTGACAAGACTTCTATAATCTTATGATAGTCCTCATTTACTTGTATTAAGTATTGGGTTATACTGTTGGCCTCAGGTACATCATAAAATGATCAGTAAGCTCTAAATATCCATTATATGTCATGATGTAATTTGGTAAAACAAACTGTGGAATTGTTTTCAGCAAGCAATAAATACCTGAGGACTTGTCAAATTGTTGCTGCTGTTTGCTTAGTAGCATGCTCAGTAATATCTAGTTATTTAAGCAGAAAAAGATTGGAAAGGTAACAAATTATGAGAAATAGAAAACTAAATATTCTCTTTCTTGCACTAGTAATATTGTGAGAGTACAAAGGAAGGAAAAATTAAAATCTTGGAATGAAATAGTGAACAAAACAGCTTTAAGAATTTTGGCTACAAGTTTTGAGTAAGGAACCAAAATTAAATGTATAATGATTCAATATATATTTAGCATCTAATATGTGTCAGACATTACTAGACAACACGGAAAATGCAAAGATGAAAAAAAATCACTGTTATACCTTTAAAATGTTTTGATGTAATTACAAGGGTATAATGTGATAGGAAATAGAGCTCACTGAAGATTTTTGAGTAGAAAAGCAATGTGGGGAAGTGATGTTTAGGTAACATTTAGCAACAATTGGAGGGAGGAAGTAGATTGAATAGTGGAGGAATTAGCCAGAGAAGGGCCATGTGGGAGGTAAGTGTCTCATCTAGATGTGTAGCTGATAAGCATTTAGGAGCAGAAGGTAGGAGATGTGGGAGAGAGGAAGAAGCATGAGAATCATTTTGAAGAAACATTAGCATCATTTCAAAGAATATATTAAAGAATTTTTCCTAACCTTATTTGCAAAGATTTTCCCCACCCTATTTGAAAGTACTACAGTGGAAATAGTTGACCCTGGGATGGGGAGAAACTTAGAAGACAGGTGAGCTGTGTCTCTGGGTTTCATAACAGCAAAGTGTTTGGCACTGACTTTAGAAGAGACAAACCACCAACTTGCTAAGCAAAGGAACTTGAGTTTGCATCTGTTAGATGTATAATTGTATGTTTCTCAGGGAAAACACAACTGGCTTTCATGCAGAACAGTTCTTTGTTTTGTAAGACTATTCTGCATATTGCACAAGATTCAGTATCACAGGCCCTCAAACACTAAATGCTGAAAGAAGCCCTCTCCTCATCACTTATGACAATCAAAAACACCTCACATATTTTTAAATGTCACTAGACAATCAGTGCTAGTCCTGTCTACTGGCATTAATACTAGTACTAATCCCTAGTACTGCAAACAAGCAAACAAACAAAAAATTACTTAAAAGGAGCATGTGATGACATATTACCTCTCTGCCCTTCAGTTATGCTCATGTAAGAATTGTTCCTTAATTGATCTAAAGCCCAGATGCTCAAGGTATTTTCTGATACTCTTTTTGATAATTTAAATATAGTTAAAGAACTTTGTCTCATTTTATGGTGTTTCTGTTTTCAAAAGTAAACTCTCTTAGAGTAATTTTTAGTTTTAATTTTGGGCGGGGGGTCCCAGGGATTGAACTCAGCACTCGACTACTGAGCCACATTCCTAGCCCTATTTTTTGTATTTTATTTAGAGACAGGGTCTCACTGAGTTGCTTAGCACCTCGCTGTTGCTGAGGCTGGCTTTGAACTCTCAATCCTCCTGCCTCAGCCTCCTGAGCTTCTGGGATTACAGGCATGTGCCATTGAGCCTGGATCAAGTAATTTTTCTTTTCTTTCTTTTTTTTTTTTTTTGAATGGATAAACAAATTTTAACATACACTCACTCAAAAATTAGTGCTAAAATGGAAGGCATGGATACCCACAATATGTGAAACTCAAAAATATGCTAGAAGATGGACAAAAATACATGGAACGTATGATTATATAACATTAAAAATTTATAGTGAGAGCGCTAGGGTCACAGCTCATTGGTAGAGTGCTTGTCTAGCATGAGTGAGGCACTGGGTTCCCGTCTCAACTCTGCATATAAGTAAATTAATAATAAAATAAAGGCCCATTGACCACAAAAATATTTTTTTAAAAAATTATAGTGAGAAAAGGCACAGCAGTAGTTTCTGGCAAACAAGAGAGTAAGAAAGGGGGGGGCAGAAAAATTCTGGGCAGAATTGATACATTTACTATGATGGATGTGCTGAAGGTTCTTCAGGGCACAACCTAAACCTGTGCAATTTATTATAAATCAATTGTACCTCAACAAAGTATAAGGAAAAAACCCAGCCACGTCATGTAGTATAAGTTTAAATAAAACAAGGGACCAAGTAACTAAAGGCTTGAGTAGGAAGGTAATCACAAGAACAAAACAAATATTTCTAAATAAAAGATATTTATATACAAACAAGCCACTGTGAGCACTAACACATGGTAAAAAGCAATGATCTATAGTGGCAATGTCAAAGCAGGTCCTGGGACAACAGAGTTGCTTCTAGGGGACCACACGTTCAAAGTTATTTTATTGTAATAGAAAAATGCTATTTGCCTTTTTAATTCTAATTCTCTCAAGAGTATAGCATTGATTTTTCCACAGATTACATGACACAAGTTGAACATAAAATGTAAAAAGAGGGGATTCTGGCTATATTCTAATTAGCCAAACAGCAAGATTTGCAAAACTTTACAAAATGGCACTCTTTCTGTTGATTTTTTGTTTGTTTGTTTGGTGATCAAAATATATTTTACTAGTAATACTATGTATGTTAACATGTAATATGTTTACAATATTTTAAGTGAATGTAGTGTTTTTTAGATTCTCAGTTTTAATTCCCAACAGGGCAAATATTGGTAGATAACCTAAACATAAATAAAAGCTCTTTGGGATTTTCACTGTCAGAGAAGGGCTATTAATCTACCATCAATTAGCTCTCAGGCAGGCCCCTTGAGAGGGGCAACTGCACTGCTAAGGCATGGCCTACCACCCTGAGGGAGGATCCCCACATTCTAGAGGGATGTTTCTTCACATGTAGGCTGTTTTCATCTCATTTTTCTACATATGCATTTTCACTGTATTTCATCTGAGTGTTGTTCTACAACAGTTTGGAATTGTTTAAAAATTGTTCTTCACCATGGAACCATGGAGAAACAGTGAACTACATATATTTCAATAAGTAGCAATTAGTATGATCCCTAAAGCAAAATGTTATGAGTAGAAAGTAATTCTACTTCATTAACAACAATGAAGAGGGTTTCCTCTGTATATACACTATTTCTCATATAATTACCAATGCAATCACACTTACAATGTGAATTGGCAATGACAGAAAACTATACATTCTCTTTTCAGTGAAAAACTTTTCCAATGGGTCTCACAAATGCATTGATTTCATGAAATTCACCTTTGCTATGTTCTCTCAGGGTGCTTTAGATGCAGGAATTAGGTAAAAGACTCCACCTCCTTTCTCAGACAGGTTTATTCCTGATTTGGATCAGTTTCCTTCTAGCTTCTGTCCAGTAAGAACTCTTTGGCACAAACTACCCTACAGCCTCTCGCCCTGGAGTCCAGCACAATCACTCTGTCTGCTGTGGAGTAAGAGCTCCTGCAGCCACTCACATGGCCCACCTGTGCTGGCTACAGAAGGTGCCATCACTACCCGAGAGGCACCGCACTCTCAAGTAGTTTTTGAAGTTGTAGTAGTAATTGAAAAGAAATGACCTGATCAAGGTAATGCTTATATAAAATAAAAAAATTATATAGATTAAAGACATAATGACAAATAAATACTCCAATTAGGTCAGTGAATTCTTGATAGAATTTAAAGAATATGTTTTGTGACAACTTAAAACCCAACTCTGTCATTATCATAGAAACACAGGAAAAAAAGTGTCCTGATTTACTTTCTCTCTCCAGGTAGGTTTTACTAAGAAAAAATTAGGGTTCTCCTTAACTATAGATTCCCATGTATATTTTCAGGATAGAAAGGCTTTTTTTTTTTTTTTTAAGCAGCCTGGATTACCTAGGCTCGCCTTGAGTTTGTAATCCTTCTGCATCAATCTCCAGACTAGTACAGTGTGCGCCCCTGCACCTGGCTTTTTTTTTTTAAATTTAAACTAAATTCTAATTATAGTTGTGATATTAAAATTTTTCTTTGTTCCTGCTACAAGAAAGTAGAATCCATGAGACCCTCAAGGTCTCACACATTAAAGTACCGTCCGACTTCAAAAGGCAGCAGTTACTGTCATGGAGGCATGAAGATAGACCAGCAGGCAGTGAGGTTATTGTCCCAACTTTCCCCAGTAGTGCTGTTATGCATTAAACAGTGTCCAACCAACTAAATCATTATGTCAGGAATCATGACTGCAAACCTTACACACACAGCTGAAAAAAATAAGCAGGCACAGGAGTTGGGCTAGAATGAGAGAGAGAGAAGCAGAGGCAGAGAGGGACTGAATTGAGAGAGGAGTCTCAGTGGGCAGCAATGAATGTGTTCCTCCAGTGGAACGCTGGTATGACAGGTTCTCAGACCAGCCACAGAGCACCAGAGCAGCAGCTATGCTGTTCTGACCAGTGAGAAGCACTGCCTAGTTCTCTTCTGTCCACTCAAATTAGCCCT